ATAAAGGGGACAGTGAGACGACACTAGCAAAGAAGCGAGAATGAGATCAAAAAGTAAGCTGGGAACAGGAAACAGAAATAATGGGAAGAAAAGATAGGAACAATAGGGAGAGGCAAGTGGAATATGGAAAGGAAGGAGCAAAAATTAAGGCCAGGGATACGCAAAGCCGCGAAGCACGCGAAGATAAAGGAAAAGAGGGTAGGGCGAGAGCACAGAAGAAAGAGCAGGCGAAAAAGAAGAAGGAAGAACACAAAAGCAGAAAGTTACAAGGAGTAACAAAGGCATTGGAAAGATGTCGGAGAATAGTGATAAAAAAATCGTGCAGGAAAAGCATCAGAAACGAGAGATAAATAGGAAGGAACGTGATGTTAAGACGAGGAGGAAATGAAATGAATCAAGGTCGAAGGAAGAAAGGATACGAAAGATGAGCAGCCGGTAGTAATAGATTGTAGTGTCAAAAAACAGCAGAGGTGAGAATAACCCGAGAGCCGAAGCTAAATGGAAGCATTACGATAAGAGCGATATCTAAACAGTGAGAAGAGCAGGAGTGATAAACACAATAACAAGAAAGATAGGAAGGAGAAAAGAAGGAATGGGAAGGGTAGAGCCGTGCTAGCAAAAGAGAAGAAAGAGAAGGCGAAATGGAATGAAAGTAGCAAAGATAAGATCAGAGGGACAAAGCAAGAGAAGGAGGGTGGTAGCAAGCAGGAGAGACGAGAAAATCGAGAATTAATGGAGCAAGAAGAATTAGAGAACGCAAGAGAAAAGGAACTTTAAACACGAAAGTAAAAGAGAGCTAGCCGAAGAGGAAAAATGAAGGTAGCAAGAGACAACAGGGTAAGCCAGTAAAGCGGGATAGCGATAAAAAAGCTAGGAGGAACAAGGCGGTGTAAGCCAAGTTATTAGCCAGAGGGAGAAAAGGTCAAGACAAGAGAATGGGAATAAAAAAGACAGCGGTAATCGAATAGAAGGTCATAAGAGGATAGGAGACAACAGGAATTAGGAGGTAGCGGGAGAAGAGATTGCAGGAGATGGGAGACAAGAAACAGGAGTAGAGATTGCACAGCGCAATAAAGGCGACGTCCGGGAGAGAAATAAAACAGGAGGCGACAAGGTGAAAGGAACGGAGGGGATCTGAGAAGGTAGGAAAGTCTAGAACAAGTAATAGCGAGAGGAGAGACAACAGAGGAGGGCAGTTAAAGAGAAGAAATAGGAAAAGTACACAAGAGGACCAAGCAAGGCAAGCAAAGACAGGAGGGAGCGTCGAAAACGAGGGAGCAATAGAAAATGAAAAGAGAAGGAGAGACAATAATGGCGAAGTTAGTAAAGGAAAGTAAATATGGGAATAAGGCATGTACAAGGCAGAGGGAATGAGAGAAGAGAGGAGTAGCAGTACGAAAGATTCAAGGAAGGTTATATCAGACGAGAATAATAGACAGAAGGGAAAAAGAGCTAAAAAGCAATAGTAAATAGTGAACACTATACGGGAGAGAACAGAACAAAGGTATAAGAAGGGGATGAGTGAAAGTTCAAACATGAAAATAAAAGAGATAAGAAAGGCGAGGTTTGGAGGAATTGAGCGAAGACGAGAATGGGAGAAGAGTACAAGATAAGGGGAGGAGAGAAGAAAGGATAAAGGTGGAGGAAGAAGAGAAACAAGGATACAAAGGTAAAGCAGAGCGCAACAAGAGAAG